CATAGCAAGACTGAGCCATTCTCCTGAATCAAATCAAACATAATGGCTTTTCTACTCCTTAATTACTCAGCTTATACTGTTAAAAATTCCCCAAACATACACAGGAATAAGCATATCTAGGGACAAACAAAAAGTAGCCTCTAGGATAAAAACAAGAAACAAAAAACAAACCAGAAACTGTTGTCCCATTGTGGATTAATAGTCATTTCTGTTTTTCATCATTAGCAGCGTGGAGAGTTCTACATGTAAAATGAAGGGACATGCCAGATGAGCTCTAAGATTCCTTCCAGTTCTAACATAAATCATGACCCCCTGTTATTCCTATTATTTATCATTTCTACCCATTATCACCTATTTCTGTAGTAGCTGAGCATAAATCTATTTTTGTCACACTATTACCAAGAATAAGTAAGATTTTTTTTTTTTCAAATCCAGAATAGAAGAAACAAAACCTCAGCTTTTTAAAAACTGAATCCAGGAACATTTCAAAATGGCTTTCTTAAAATCCAACATTGACATAAAGATTTGAGATTCCTAACGTAAAGCATTAACCAGTAGGATTTTTTTTTTTTTTAATGAAGAAGAAATGTATTGAAGTACGACTCTTTTTTTTCCTCAGTTTAAAAATAAACTCAAAAAGAGGTGCCTGGGTGGCTCAGTCAGTTAAGTCTGCCTTTGGCTCAGGTCATGATCTCAGGGTCCTGGGATTGAGCCCCACATTGGGCTCCCTGCTCAGTGGGGAGTCTGCCTCTCCCTCTCTCTCTGCCCCTCCCTACCCCTGCTTGTGCTCTCTCTCAAATAAATAAACAAAATCTTTTTAAAAAATGAACTTGGGCAGCCAAGGTGGCTCAGCAATTTAGCGCCGCCTTCAGCCCAGGGTGTGATCCTGGAGACCCTGGATAGAGTTCCAGGAGTCCCATGTCAGGCTCCCTGCATGGAGCCTGCTTCTCCCTCTGCCTGTGTCTCTGCCTCTCTCTCTGTGTCTCTCATGAATGAATAGTAAAATCTTAAAAAAATAAAAAACTGGATGTGGATTTTGACTTTTCACTTTGCTTTTTGAACTGTCAGGCATTTTTGTCATGAACATATACTTCTTTTACATTTGAAAACCTAATAAAAATTATTTCAGAACAACACAGAACCTTTTCATTTCCTCATATGTATGACCCTTGAAAGAAAGGAGGGCCATAGCAATAATGGACTTTAAAAAGCCTAATTTCAAATTCCATAGCACTCCAGGTTTATATTTTAGTCTTAAGCTTCACCAGAGTGTAATAGTTAGGTTTTTCTGTCTCTTCCCTGAATAGTGAGCAACTTTATCATTGGTTCTCAGTCCCACTGATCACTTTCTCTCATATGCCTAACACATTGTTATTTGTTGCTCAATAAATGTTCATTAAGCAAAACTAAATCACTGAAGTTTTGCCTCTCCAACTCCCACCTTTGTGATCTTTATTTAGTGAGTCAACTTTGTACATTCAAAATAGGAATGACAGAACTACCTCACAGGGATGTTAATTAAATGACCCAATATATAGAAAGCACTTAGCACAGTGCCTGGTATGTGGTAGTCTCCACTCCCCTCACCTATTCTTTTAAGAGAAGTTTCTTCTCAGATGGAAACAATAATAACTTCACAAGATAAAAAAAATCGACAGTCCTTTTTCTGACTTTTAAATGCCGCTTTAAAGCTGCAAAGATGGGCCAGGCAAAACATTAGCCTTGGTATGTGTTTCAGGAATCCTGAGACCACCCATACATTCAGTGATCTGCTAGGAGGACTCACAGGATTCAGAAGCAGTTGTACTCAGGGTTATAGTGTGTTACAGCAATCACCAAGGGGGAAGGACCCAGCAGGATTGGTCTAGAGGAATCCATGGCTACATTTCCTGCTCTCTCCCTAGCAAGCAGGAAGTAATGTATTCCTCCAGCAAGGATATGCAGCAACACACATGCAGTGTTTTGCCTGGCGAAGACTTCACGAATACTCAGAGTTCAGGGCTTTTCTTGGGAGCTGGTCATGCTGGCCTAATGATCTGTCCCAATGGCCAAACTGCCAGATTCCCAGAAGGAAGCAGGTGTTTAGTGCCCCAGATGGGCAAAACAACCCATCACTTAGAGAATGTTTCAAAGGCAAAGTTCCCAGGGGCCAAAGACCAACCTTGCAAGATGGCCTTTAAAGACAGCAGCCTCAAGCTTCCTGTGCACATGGCAAGTGAGAAACTGGGGAAGGAGGGCACATATTGCAGGAAAGAAGAGTAGTTCGAACTGGGGAAAGCAGAGAAAGGCAAAACAGTGGAAAGGAAAGAAGGAAAATGAGGGAAAGGGAAGACAGGAAAGAAGCCGGGAAAAGGAAGAGGGAGGGCAGGAAGAAGAGGAAATAATCTCTGCCTGACCCAACCTGGCTTCCGACTCCAGCCACCTGAGTCCCTAGCTCTGGGCTCAGTGCTGCTCCTCCCACCACCCCTCCTCATACTCCACTTCAGAAGTTGCCACAATGTCACCTTGTTCGTGCCTACTTTCATCCCCTCTGGTTCTATAAATATATATATATGTATATATCTGGTTCCCTTTGTCCTGCTGGCTAGGTGTCATCTGGCTGCTTTAATAACAAGAAAGATAAGAGGGAAGGAAAACCCAATAGCGATAGATTCAATAGGAAAAGGCATTTCAGCTAAGTGGAACAAGAGAAAAGTAACAGACTCCCAAAGCCCCTCTGAACTTTGAAAGAAATACATAGTCTTGGGGCACCTGGGTGGCTCAGTCAGTGAAGCATCTCCCTTCAGCTCATGTCATGATCCCGGGGTCCGGGATAGAGCCCCACATTTGACTTCCTGCTCAGTGTGGAGCCAGCTCCTCCCTCTCCTTCTGCCACTCCCCCTGCTTGTGTGCTCTCTGTCAAATAAATAAATGAAAATCTTAAGAGAAAGAAAAGGGGGAAATACATAGACTTCTTAGCTTTATTAGACAGGAAATACTGGGAAAATATCACAGCAGAATGAACTCTTTTGAACATACAGTTGACCCTTGAACAATGTGGGCATCAAGGGGCACTGACTCCCCATGCAGTCGAAACTCTAACGATAAGTTTTTTTTTTTAATAAAAAAAGGTTGTTATTTATTTACTTGAGAGAGAGAGTGCACTAGAGAGAGCACGAATGGTGGGGAGGTGCAGAGGGAGAGGGAGAAGCAGTCTCCCTGATGAGCAGGGGGCCCGATGAGGGGCTCAATCCCAGGACACTGGAATCATGACCTGAGCTGAAGGCAGACTCAACCAACTGAGCCACCCAGGCGCCCCTGTAATAACTTTTGACTCCCCCTCAAAACTTCACTACTAACAGCCTATTGTTGACTCAAAGCCTTACCGATAATATAAACTGTCAATTATTACATAGTTTATATATTATATGCATTATACACTGTGTTCTTACAATAAAATGAGCTAAAGAAAATGTTATTAAGAAAATTGGGATGCCTGGCTGGCTCAGTGGTTGAACGTCTGCCTTCAACTCACGGCATGTGTTTGGAGTCCCGGGATCGAGTCCCACATCGGGCTCCCTGCATGGAGCCTGCTTCTCTCTCTGCCTGTGTCTCTGCCTCTCTCTGTGCGTGTCTCTCATGAATAAATAAATAAAATCTTTTAAAAAAGAGAAAATGTTATTAAGAAAATCATAAGGAAAATACATTTACAGTACTGTACTGTGAAATATCCATATACAAGTGGACTCATGCAGCTCAAACTAGTGTTGTTGAAGGGTCAACTACGCTTTTAAATTACAGTGGCTCCTTGACTTTTGAGAGGTCATTGGTTACTTCTCCCATTTAAATATCTAGAGCAAGAAGGCTTTTTAGAAGTTAAAAGATACTAGGGTTTTATTCTTCCAACCCTCCCGTTTTTTGGACTTTCTGCGTTCATAAAAAGGAAAAGAAGATAAGCAAGCTATTTCTTGCCCTAGTGCTTTTGTAATTGAAAAATATAACAGATCCTTTTCTCCTTTTCTCACATTTTGTATTTTAAAAATTGCTGTCAGACTAAGGCTTTGCCAAGTTTCAACCCCAAGTGAAATCTTATCAAGAAAACTGAAAGCTATATAAAAAGCAGATGGATTATAGGTACAATCATACAGCCTACACACGTTATGATTTTTAAACAAGTTCATCTCTCTTGTTAAATGTATAATATTAATTATATTTATGCACTGAAATATATATCCTTTTATTCCATTTTCATATCATCAGAAAGGTTTCACTTTTGTAAAAAAAATATATATATGTATTTATCTGGATAAAGACATATTTTAGGTAAGAGAAGAAATCAGAAAGAACATGATACCTTTCCATCTTCAGTTACCCGGAAATCTACCATATGGACAAAAGAAAACATATTTTGATAACTCCAGAGGATGGAGGTTGAACATATAGAAGACAATTTTTATTAGGCACATTAAATTCACTTAAGGAAAAATTTGATATCTGATACCACTTAGTCCCTTCTAGAAACAGAATGGCTACTTCATTTGTAATTGTCAAGTGAGGGGCATTTTCACTGAGAGAGCTCAAGACCAGAATGCTGGTACCAATGAGACTCTGAGAAGTCAGTGGAGAGCCAATGGAAGAGAGAACACAGAGCTTCCCACAGAGGCCAAAGACAAAGATAGGCTACAAAGAATGAATTGGAAGCCTGGGAACCTTACTAACATGGGGCAGATTCCAAAAGCCTTGTGAGATGGGTCAGGCAGCCAAACAGAACTAAACAGGTCTGAAGTTGAAGTTTAGTACATAAAAGAGAATTCCAACTGGACAGAGAGAAAGGGATAGAGCCCCAAGAGAAAACTCGAGGGTCAGCAAAGAGATAAGCTAGACCATGTGGAGGTAACAAATTAACCCTGAAATCTCAGTGGTTTAACAACAAAGTTTATTTCTTGCTCAAAAGGCATGTTCCAAGGCAGGTAGGTAGGGAGCTCTGTTTCACCCAGTTATTCTGAGGTCCAAGCTCACTGAGGTCTGATGCTTTATAGTTGCTTCATCTGTATCACAGGCTCCGGGTTCTTTTACTATAAGAAACAGGAAAAGGGGAGCACTCAGACTCTTACATGACTCAGAACTACAGGGAGGCTTCACTTCTCATATTCCCATTGGGCAGAGCTCAGTCACATGACCCAACCCAACTATGAGGGAGGCTAGGAAATGTAGGGGAGGAAACGGACATTCAGTGAACTCAGTTGCTAGAGGGTGCACTGGTCAGATAAAGCCCTTTCCAAGCAGAGATGCTATAAACATTCTTTACCTTAGTCTACAACCCTATAAGGTCTTCCTTGCCCAGCCATTATATAAGTTCTGAATTTCTGACATGGTGGATTACCATTGTTCAAGAATTCAAACAGAAACTGGGGAATGGCCAAAATCCAAAACACTGACAACACCATATGTGGGCAAGGATGTAGAGCAACAGGAACTCTCTCATTCATTGCTGGTGGGAATACAAAATGGTACAGCCACTTTGGAAAGCAGTTTGGCAGTCTCTTACAAAATTATAAATACTCTTACTATATGATCCAGCAATTGCACTCCTTGGGGTTTAGCCAAATGAATTGAAAGCTTATGTCCATACAAAAACCTGCCCAGAGATGTTTATAGCAGCTTTATTTAAAATTGCCAAAATTGGGGATCCCTGGGTGGCGCAGTGGTTTAGCGCCGGTCTTTGGCCCAGGGCACGATCCTGGAGACCCGGGATCGAATCCCACGTCAGGCTCCCGGTGCATGGAGCCTGCTTCTCCCTCTGCCTGTGTCTCTGCCTCTCTCTCTCTCTCTCTGTGACTGTCATAAATAAAAATAAAAAAAATAAAATAAAAATTAAAAAAAATAAATAAAATTGCCAAAATTGGAAGCAACCAAGATATCCTTCAGTAGGTGAATGGAAAAATAAACAGTGGTACATCCAGACAATGGAATATTATTCAGCACTAAAAAGAAATGAGCTGTCGAGCCAGAAAAAACCATGGAGGAAACTTTCAATGTATATTACTAAGTGAAAGAAGCCAATCTGAAAAGGCCACATACCATATGGTTCCAACTATATGGCATTCTGGAAACGGCAAAGCTACAAAGACAGTAAAAAGATTATGGTTGACAGGGGTTGAGGGGAGAAAGGGATGAATTGGCAGAGTACAAAGGATTTTTAGGGTAGTGTAGCTATTCTGTATGATACTACAGCGATGGACACATGTCATTTTATATTTGTCAAAATCCATGGAGTATGTGCAACATCACAAGTGAACCCTAATGTAAACTACAGAGTTTGGGTGATAACAATGTGTCAACATAGGTTCATAAATTGTAACAAAAACACCACTCTAGTGCTTCATGTTCATAGTGGGTGAGGCTGTGAGTGTTGGGGCAGGGGGGTATAGAGGAATTCTCTGTGCTTTCCCCTCAATTTTGCTGTGAACCTAAAAGGCTCTAAAAAATAAGGTTTATTAATTTTTTTAAAAGTGGGGATGTTCCTCTTCAATAAGACAGTAGAAGGGATGTATTTATTTGGTACAAAGTGAATCAGAAGACCTCTTAAAGTCCCTTACTACCCTGAGGTTCCCTGATTTCTATGTTCTGTTTGGTGGTGAGAGACCCCTGACTTCTCAGGACAAGAAGGAATTTTAAAGGTCACCCAATGGATGAATTATTTTATCTGTGGCAGGACTGCTGAAAGGTCATCTAGACTATGCTGTAAGATCTTCAAAGAATGGAAATTTGTGCCTCTTTAATTAACTATTTCAACACATCCTTGAATCACCTTGTCTGAGAGTCATCCTTACATTGTGGGCTGTGTCTCCATAATTCTTATCCTTTAGATAGATCAATGGGAACCAGAAAGATAGCAGTAAGTGTCTGGAGGCAAATCTAATATCTATTCAACAGAAACCCTACCAAGAAATATGAAGCCCTTGCCTTATATGTAGGCTTTGCAAGAAAATGAGGCAGGGATCTGGGACAACTGGACAGCAAGCCAGACTCAGAGTGATCTTGAGGTCCTGAAGGATAGAGGCAGGGGCTCAGTTTAGGTGCTTGTGAAGTTATTGCTGTGTGGGGCCGCAGACAAATTTGGGTAAAGAGCACATTCATTTGTTTTGGGGAAGGTCATCATTCTATTGATGAATATTGAGTTAATTTCAACTAAACATTCCTATATCACACCTTCCCCCCAAAAGTTCTTTTAACTTGATTATAGATAGAAGACTCTATCTAGGAAGTTCACAGCCTTATTTAACAAATATAAAAGAGGGCACCACTGGTGGCTTAGCAGTTTAGCGCCACCTTCAGCCTGGGGCGTGATCCTGGACACCCAGGATCGAGTCCCACGTTGGGCTCCCTGCATGGAGCCTGCTTCTCCCTCTGCCCGTGTCTCTGCCTCTCTCTCTCTCTCTGTCTCTCATGAATAAATAAATAAAATCTTTAAAGAAAAGAAATATAAAAGAATTGTGCCAAATCAAGTAGATACTGCTCATTCCTTATTTTGCTTGGTATCCCTTAGAAATCTAATAGTACTAAATATTCTTTCTTTGACACTTTCCTCTTCCTTGGCTTGACCTTCTTAGTCTTGGACCTATTTTCTCTCAACTTCCTTAATTGGATTCTCTTTCCTTCCTCTAATAGTGGTGGTTTTCCCAAAGCCCAATCCCCAGCCTTGTCAATAAAACATCTCTTCAGGACAATCTATCTACTCCCATGGCTGTATCACCACTTCTATGTTGATGAATCCCAAATGTGTATCTCCCCAAGAGTCTCTCTCTTGCACTCTCAATTCACCTCTACCTAAATAGGGCACAGATACCAAGGGTATGGGTGCTCACAATTGGATCCCACTATCATTTACTCCCCTGTTCATACATTTCCAACTTGACACCATATTTATCCAGTCTCCAAAGCTGGGAAACCAGACGTCATCCTGTACTCTTCCCTCTCCATGAACTTTCATAATACAGACATGAAGTCCCAACAATTCTGTCTCTAGGCAGCTCTAAAATCTGCCTCTTCCTTCCATCCTCATCAACAACTGCATGGTTCATCATCTCTCATTTGGACTACTGTAACATCCAGCTTTAACTTTTACATGTTTCATTATACTCTATTATAGTTTAAGTGCTTTTATAATGAAAAACAAATTTCTTTAAAGATTTTTTTAAGTTTATTTAAGCAATCTCTACACCCAACATGGGGCTTGAACTTACAACCCCGAGATCAAGAGCAGCATGCTCTACTGACTGAGCCAGCCAGGCAACCCAGAACAATAAATTTCTTGACTCAAACTTACCCTGTTCCAGTCTAGCTCCCCACATGCCACTAACTGAAACTACTCCAGGTATTTGATCATCTAGTAGTTGCCACAGTATCTCTAGATAGTATGCTTTATGTCAAAATTTCTTGGTTTAGCAAAAATCAAATTTCTATTAATTTCCTGCTACTATAGATGAGATTAAACCTATCTCTCACCCTCAAATGTCCAGTAGCCCTTCTTTCCAAAATTCTGTGTATACTCAATTACAAGGCAAAGTTTTTCCTCAAAATTATTCCATCACAAATAAAGTCCCCCAAGGGGGGATCCCTGGGTGGCTCAGCAGTTTGGCGCCTGCCTTTGGCCCAGGGCACGATCCTGGAGTCCCCGCGTCAGGCTCCTGCTTCTCCCTTCTCCTGTGTCTCTGCCTCTCTCTCTCTCTCTCTCTCTCATAAATAAAATAAATCTTAAAAAATTATAAATAAAGTCCCCCAAAATAACATAAGGTCCTTATTAAGATTTTCAGGGCACCTAGGTGGCTCAGTGGTTGAGCATCTGCCTTTGGCTCAGGTCGTGATCCTAGGGTCCTGGAACTGAGTTCCGCATCGAGCTCCCCAGAGGGAGCCTGCTTTTCCCTCTGCCTATGTCTCTTGCCTCTCTCTGGGTCTCTCATAAATAAATAAATAAAATATTTTTTTTAAAAAAAGATTTTCATATTACAGGCAGAGGCAGTCTCTCAATTACTTAGTTTTGAACAACAAAGTGCTATTTGGGGAAGACACATTAACCTGAAATGACCTCAATCAAACTCAGCTTGAATGCTTATAGAGGTCTCTTGACATGATGGGGGAAGGTAAATAAATTTAAGACAGATTGAGTCACCATTTCTGGAGAATTGACTTCAAACTGCAGCTCTGGGCACCACTGCATACAAGCCTTTTTAAAAAAATTAGTTGATTACCATACATTAAATACATATGTCGTGGAGCTTACAACAAAGTCATGGGCATACGTGAATCATGGTAAAACTTCTATTTTTTTAAGATTTTTTATTTATTTATCCATGAGACACACACACACACACACACACAGGCAGAGACACAGGCAGAGGGAGAAGCAGGCTCCATGCAGGGCACACGATGTGGGACTTGATCCTGGGTCTCCAGGATCATGCCCTGAGCCGAAGGCGGCACTAAACCACTGAGCCACCTGGGCTGCCCAATCATGGTAAAACTTCTAATGGTAGCATCATGCTCAGATTCAAAAAGTGCTGCAATCAAACAACTTTGTGGAAGTGAATATGGCACTATCTTCAAGTGGCTCTTGATGAAGGAGAAATGAATGTCAATGAGCATGTGCAGAGTTTGAAAAAAACTGTATCCTGAAATGTGAGAGTGAAAAAGAGCCGTTTTATATTTTATATAACATGAGATTTTAAATATGCAGGTATAGTTAAAGTTCAAGTTAAATATTATAGGTAAACATTTGGCTATTTCAACTCATTCCCTAAACATTGTATATTCAAGTTTAAAAAAAAAAAAAGAGAAGTTGTTTTCAACTCTCTCATTTGGGAAAAAGATGTTTTCACTTATATTTAGGGTCCATGTATACTTGAGCATATATTCCAGTTATATCTCCAGATTAAGACCTACATTGGTCAATGTAGCTAGTAAGTGAGTACACTTCTGTTTCTCTATTTCACGCTCCCTCCACCATAGGCACTATCTTTTGGCTTTTCATTCTATAAAGGGAAGTAGTAATGTTCTCTTCTTTCTCTTTACTGCT